GTGGAAGATGCTCCAAGTGCTTGGGCCCCTGCCACACACGTAGGAGACCTGAAAGAAGCTCCTGGCTCCTGGTCTCCTGGTTTTGGCACAGCCCAGCCCTTGCCATTGCAACCATCTGGGCAGTGAAGCAGTGGATGGAAAATCTCTCTCTCTCTCTCTCTCTCTCTCTCCTCTAACATTCAAATAAATAATTAAATTTTTAGAAAACATATTGAACTGCAGCATATGTGTCCCCAGGGAGTTCGCCCTTGCCATGAGGGGTCTCCCAGGGAGGTCGTGCATTCACATGCCCGTAGGTTTCTAGGCACTTGTAGGCCTGTAAACACCAATGTGCTGCTGCACTTGGTTTTGGTCACTGAAATTTTCAACAAATTCATATTAAAACCAAAGAGAAAAGTAAATGGGGCCAAGTGAGTGCTATGGAAGACCTTTCTCTCTGTCTCTCCCTCTCACTGTCTATACCTCGACCTCTCAAATAAATAATTTCTTTCTTACAAAAGTGATCTGAATGTCTTATTGCTCCTGAACACCGTCACCCCTACAACTTTTGGAACCTCTGCTCTGTATAGCTCATAGATAAGTATGCATGGAATCTGTAAAATGTCCCCATTTTGTGGGAAAGACAACCAAGGCACAGATACTGCAGAGTTCTGACGAGGTTGGCAGCACCCAAGAGAAGGCCCTGCACAACTTCCAGCAAGAGCAAACTCCCAACCAACATCCAGCAATGCAGCCAGACAAAGAGGCTCAGGAGACTCAGCAGTCCAAGGCACAGGGAATCACTGAGATTCAAATCAACGAAAACTCTGGTATACTGGGAAAGGAAATGAGAGTGGAAAGATCCAGGCCAACATTGGAGAAGCAGAGAACTAAAAAAGTGGAACTTTGGATCTTTTTTCTTCTCTCTCTGGATGGTGGAGGCAGACTTAGGATGGCCAGTGCTGGCTGGGACACAAGAAGCATTTGTTTTGTATTCTCTGGGAGGAGAAGATACTTGTGAATGAAATTTTCTGGGTCACTGCCCAGAGCACTTACTCACTACACACAGATCAAGGATTCCCTTGTCACCAGAATCCCCTATGCCCCCACCAGCCTCTGCCTACAGGTGACACTTGATGAATTCCCATTTGGTCCCTGTACACCTCCAGTAGCATTAGACTGGGCACTGAGGAATGACGAGAACACCATTCCAGGCATAGGAGGGGATTGAGGCTGAGAGACTGGGTATAGGAGACAGACATCATTTTTAAAGATTTTTAATTGACACATGATAATTGTCCATATTTATCAGGTCTGGTGTGAGGTTTCAATACATGAAGACCAAATGTAATGCTCAGAACAGAGTAATAGGCATTATCTATCACCTCAGACCTTTATCAATTTGTTATTGTGATTAAAACATTCAGAATTCTCTCTTAATAGCTACTTTGGAATACACAATAAATTATTATTGTTAACTGCCGTTACCCTGTTATGCTATAAAATGCTAGAAACCAATTCTTCTATATAACTATTTTTGTACCCATCAAGCTGGTGTACATAGTTTTTTCTCTCCATTCCCAGGATCTGGTAACCATTCTCTCTGCTTCTGTGAAATCAACATTTTAGCTTTTAGATATGAGACAGAACATGTGGTATTTGTCCTTCTATGGCTGGGTTATTTCACTTAGCATGCCCTGCAGTTCCATCCATGCTACAAGTGACTGGATTTTTTTAAGATTTATTTTATTTATTTGAAAGGCAGAGTTATAGAAAGAGAGAGGAGAATAGCGCATGCAAGAGAGAGCAAGAGAGAGACAGAGAGAGATCTTCCATCTGCTTGGTTTACTCCCTAAATGGCTGCAATAGTCAGAGCTGGGCCAGGCCAAAGTCAGGAGCCTGGAACTCCACCTGAGTCTCTCAAGTGAATATCAGGGATCCAAGCATTTGGTCCATCTTCTGATGTTTTCACAAACACATTCACAGGGATCTGGATCAAAAGTTGAGCAGTCAGGACTGGAACTGGAGCTCATATGGATGCCAGAGTTGTGAGCAGTGGCTTAACCCACTGAACCACAACAGCAGCCCCCAGAATTTCATTTGTTTTTCTGACTAAATAGGATTCCGTTGTATATAATATTCATCTGTTCATGGGTCAATGGACACCTAGGAGACTTCTCTATCTTAGCCATTGTGAATAATGCTGTGATAACAATGAGATCACAAGTATCTACAGAAGAGGGACAGTATTCACTGCACAAGGCATTCTCAAGGGGAAGGTGCTCAGCAGAGTGGCTTCACCTGGGGCTTTGGCATTTGGGGTAGGTGAAGATGGGTCATGGACCAGCTCTTAAGAGTGAGGGAAAAGATGCCACCAAGAAGACGCTGGCCAGGATGGAGCTGGGAGAGCAGCAGTCCAGCACAAGGTGCCTGCCAAATTAAGCCAGCCTATAGGCATCAGAGTGGGGAAAGGAGTTAGGGGAATTACTATCAATCAGGTCCTCATTATGCCAGGCAGGTGCCATGGTCTCCCTTTCATAATAGCTACCTTTGAATGAGCATCCATTGAGTCTCAGGTACTTTCTGTCCATGAACTCACTTACTTCACAGTGATTACTCTGTGATTACTCTGTGAGTTGGTCATTAAAATCTCCACTGTTAAATTAGGCAAAAGGAACTCAGAAAAGTTAAGTGGCTTGCCTGAAGTTACACAGCTGGTGCAGACCCAAAATTTGAGTCCAGTTCTGATCACTTTATAGTTAGTGTTTGCTATGTTAGTCAGTCAGTCATTCCTCAGTGCCAACACTCCCCCAGATCTTGGGCACAAGAGATTCCATAGGAAAAAAGGACGTCCTGACTGTTAGTCATGATAGGACAGCATAAATTCTGTAACAGGTACCATCCAAATCTCAGGGGTTTAAGGTAATCAATAAATCTAATCAGTGTCACAGTCTGGTGCTGCTTGGAAAGGGTGGGGGTGGGTTTGGTTGATGGACTACTTGTGCAGTCATTCTGGCGTCCAAGTTCATTTCATGGTGTTTCTTGTCCATCTTTTTACATCCTTAGAATCTCTTATTGAGTCCTCTGTAATCTGCCAACAGATAAGGGAAAAGGGAATATAAAGGCAGACATTTGGCACAGCAATTAAGCTGCCCCTTGGCACACCCTCATCCAATTCCAGAGGGCCTGGTTCAAGTCCCAGGACTTCACCTCCAATTCAGATTCCCTCTAATGCACACTCTAGAAGGTAGCAAGTGATGACATTAAGTCCTTGGGGCTCTGACCCCCCATGTGGGGGTTTCAGTCTCCCAACTTTGCCCTGGCCAACCCTGGTATTTGAGAGTGAAGCAGCAGATGGAAGATTCTCTCTCTCTCTCTCTCTCTCTCTCTCTCTCTCTCTCAAATAAATACATACATACAACTCCAGAGTATAGGGTGGGGGCCCATCTGTTCAACTTCCAAAGGGCCTGGGGAATTGGCTTCAGTGGTGAGCCCTATGAGAAGAGGAAATGGATTCAATGAACATCTGTGCTGTCCCCAGAGTATCAGCTCTGCTGATTTCTTGCTTGCAATCTTGGATGGGGTACTTAACCACTCTATGCCTTCACTTCTTCATCTATAGCATTAAGGTAACGATATCATCTATGTTATGTGACAAGATTAAGCAAGGATTAATACACGTGAACCATTTAAAACAGAGGCTAGCACACAGTGAGCGCTGGATAAATGACATCAAGCTGTACTCGCGCCATCTTTTAGAGACCATAATGCATGTTAGAGTAGAAGTCCTCAGAAGTCTCAAAAGAGAGAGACTGTTTTTTTTTTATTAAATGTTGGTTAACCCAGGATTTCCCAAACATGTTTGTCCTGCAAAATGGTCTCTCTCTTTTTTTTTTTTTTTGTATGACACCTTTCAAGCATCCAGTGAAACTGGTATTTAATCTTTCTGACAAGTACATTTCTTTGGCTCCATTGGAAAGATAGGTGGGTTCCGGGGAAGTTTAGTAAACCAAGGTCTGAAAAGTATTGATTCTAGAGAGCATTAAAATTCATCCTCTACTTGTTAAATGCTTATGAAGCATTTTCAGACATACACTGTTAGCTCACTTGGTTATTACTATTCTTATTATTGTGCTTTAGCATAGGCACTGTGTATATTACATATATACATATATTCTATATAAATGCTATGCATATGAATATATATATTCATAGAGATAACAAAAAGGGAGCCTAAGCAAGATAAAACCAGTGCCTTAGTCACAGAGCTGGTAATTGCTAGAGCTGATATCCAAGCCCAGATGTATCTGAACTTGAGAGTCTATGGATTTTTAAAGAACTGGTACTGCAGCCAGGCTCTAAAAACATAGATCTCCAGTGGCCTTTAAATAAAGCTGGACCTCAGCACTAACAAAACACTACAATAGCCTGCTGCTTTTTGTCAGCCTTCTTGGGGAAGGATAATAGATTTGTGGTTACCAATGAGCTCTTTGACATTGAGATGTAGGAGAATTTAGAGCATTGTGATTTAGGAATTTTGAGGGGGATGTCAGAGGGTTCAGGGTCTGAATTACAGATAAAAGAACATATAGCCTACCAACCTAAAGTTATCACAATGACCCTGTTTGAGCTATATTTGTTCCTCTTTCTTTTTTCCACTCTGCAATATACTCAAGAAACTTTAGAAAATAGAAATGGATCAATTTAAAGTTTTATTTCTGAAAAAAATTTGCTCTTTGTAATGTGCAGGACCATTCTCCTTTGATGGGAGACACAGATACTTACCTGAATCTAGGTTGAAAACATAATGTAAAAAGGAATTATGATAATAGATACTTTGCAATTAAAAAAAAAACTGGTGCTGGACAACTATTTTGCTATATTCTTCAGATCCAAATAGGATGTTCATTTCTTTCAGATATTGTTATTAGAAGTTATTCTTTGTAACACTTTACTGCATTATATCAGACATGTATATACTTGAATGGAAGAGTGAGGGAGTGAGAGATCTCACATCTGCTGGTTCACTCTCCCAGATTCCAACACATCACCAATGATCAGTCAAGTCCCACTGACCTTGGAAAGCAACCCAAGTGCGCATGCGCACTGAACACTCCTGGCCACCAGGCTTCTGTGCACATGTGTAACCCACAGAGCTCGAGAGCCAGGCGTGCCTGTGCAGTTGTGTATTCAGGCGTTGCTTGGCAACAGGTACTGTGAGCTCAGAGAAGTGCCCGAGGCCCTGGCTTGTGGCTCCAAACAGCTGCCACAGGTGCCTCAGGCCTGGGAGTCTGTGAGAGGTGGCCGCCAGTCTCGGCCTGGAAGAAGGCTTGCTGCTTCCCATATCAGAAGGGGGATCAGGTGTGAAAACGGTGGATCTGATGAAATCCCAGTCCGGGATCTGTCAGCGCGGGTGGAGTGGCCCAAGACCACCTTAGGTACGGACTACCTGACTGACCTCCTCCTTGAATACTTCATTTATTGTCACAGCTTTTTGATGGGCTGTGGAGCTGTTTCTGAGGGTCTAATCATGTGATCTGCAGATATGGACTTTTGGTTTTCCTCCTGTGAAATTTGATGCCTTGTTTTCCTTTTTTTCTTTCTTTTTTTTTTTTTTTTCATCCCACACCCTGTGAGTGAGAGCCCTGCTTGTGCAGACCCTGTCAGAGTGACAAGCCTGGTTTGTCGGGGACCTCTGGTTGTGGCAGTTTTGCTTTTTCCCGCCCCTCCGGTTGTGACAGTCTTGCTTTTTCTGTGCACCCTGGGCTTGATAGCCCTTCTTTGTCCTGACCCCGGGACTGACAGCTTTGTTTTGTGCCACCCCTCAGTGGGTGATAGCCCTGCTTTGTACCACCCCCTGGGACTGACAGACATGCTTTGCCCCTCCCCTCTGGGTGTGACAGCCCTGCTTTTTTGGAACCCAGAAGTGACAGCCTTGCTTTGTCCCGGCCCCCTGGCTGTGGCAGTCTTGCTTTGTCCTGCCCCTCTGGGCATGGCAACCTGCTTTGGCCCTCTGGCTGTGGCAGTCTTGCTTTGTCCTGCCCCTCTGGGCATGGCAACCTGCTTTGTACCACCTCTCAGGGAGTCACAGCCCTGCTTTGTACTGCCCCCTGGGACTCACAGCCCTGTTTTGCCCTGCTCCTCTGGGGGTGATAGCCCTGCTTTGTCCAGCCCCTGTCAGAGGGACAGACCTGGTTTGTCCAGGCCCTCTGGCTGTGGCAGTCTTGCTTTTTCCCGCCCCTCTGGGCATGGCAGCCTGCTTTGTACCACCCCTCAGGGAGTGACACCCCTGCTTTGCTGCACCCCTCTGGGTGTGACAGCCCTGCTTTGTTCCAACCCCAGTAGTGACAGCCCTGCTCTGTCCAGCCCCTGTCAGAGGGACAGACCTGGTTTGTGCAGGCCCTCTGGCTGTGGCAGTCTTGCTTTGTCCCGCCTCTCTGGGCATGGCATCCCTGCTTTGTCCTGCCCCCTGGGACTGACAGCCTTGCTTTGTACTGCCCTGTGGAACTGACAGCCCTCTTTGTCCTGACCCCTGGGAATGACAGCGCTGCTTTATCTCCTCCCTTTGGGAGTGAGAGCCCTGCTTCCTCCTGGCCCTCTCTAGGAGTGATAGCCTGCTTTGTACCACCCCCTGGGAGTTACAGCCCTGCTTTGTCCTGCCACCTGGCAGTGACAGCCCTGCTTTGTCCTGCTCCCTGATGGTGACAACCCTGCTTTGTCCTGGCCCTAGGCCTGTGGCAGTCTTGCTTTGTCCTGCCCCTCTGGGCATGGGAGCCCTGCTTTTTCCCAACCCCTGGGATTGACTGTGCTGCTTTGTTCTTCCCCTCTGGGAGTGACAGCCCTTCTTTGTCCTAGCCCCCCACCCAAGAGTGACAGCCCCATGTCTGACTCCTGCTGGCTTTCTCTTTTTCGAACTGCTCTTGATATGGCTTCCAAGACTCCATGAAATAAGAGCAGTCGGAGTTGATATCTTTGGTTCCAGGTCTGAGGGGAACTGACAGATGGCTTTGCTCTTCTAGTTTTCCTCCATCTGGTCCTCCACTTGCATAATGGGTACAATCAAGTTTTCATCCTTCTGGCTTCTCTTTGGATTGTGACTGTGACTTGATAGTCCCAGGGAGTGTTGCTTTCATGAGTGAGTGGGTAAATGAGTGAATCAACACAATGCTTCCTGAAGTCATATTGTTTCCCTGTAATGGGAACGAGTGGCCAAACCAGTCATTGGAAAATGTTGATATTCATGAAAATTTTCTGTGAGAAAAGAAAATAATGACAAATTGACTTTAGTTGATTAAACCAGAAAAAATAATCTGCGTGCAATTCATTATATATCAGCTTTTTGATGGGCTGTGGAGGTGTTTCTGAGGGTCTAATCATGTCATGTGCAGATATGAACTTTGGTTTTTCTTTTTATCCCACACCCTGTGCCTGAGAGCCCTGCTTTGTCCATCCCCTCTCAGAGTGACAGATTTTGTTTGTCCGGGCCCTCTGGCTGTGACAGTTTTGCTTATTCCCGCACCGTGGGATTGACAGCCCCGCTTTATCCTGCTCCTGTGGGAGTGACAGCCCTGCTTTATACAGCCCCCTGTGACTGACAGCCCTGCTTTATACAGTCCCCTGGGACTGACAGCCCTGATTTGTCCCGACCCTCAGGGGGTGACAGCCCTGCTTTGTACTGCCCCCTGGGACTCACAGCCTTGCTGTATCCTGCCCTTTTTGGTTTGAGAGCCCTGCTTCCCTGGCCCCCTGTGATGATAGGCCTGCTTTGTCCCCCCCTCTCAGAGTGTCTGCCCTGCTTTTTCCCAGCCCTTTGGCTGTGGCAGTCTTGTTTGGTTCCACCCCTGTGGGCATGACAGCCCTGCTTTGTACCACACCTCTGGTTGTGGCAGTCCTCCTTTGTCCTGCCCCTGGACATGGCAGCCCTGCTTCAGCGTCCTGACACTTTTTACTAGCTTAGTTCTTCTGGACTGCAAGGACCAGTTTCACAAACATCACCAATGCTTAGTCAAGTCCTGTTGACCTTGGAAAGCAACCCAAGTGTTCAGATTCACCCTGTTCATGTGCACTGAGCACTCCTGGCCACCAGGCTTCTGTGCACATGCGCAGCCCACAGAGCTCGTGAGCCAGGCATGCCTGTGCAGTTGTGTGTTCAGACATTGCTTGGCAACAGTTACTGGGAGCTCAGAGATGTGTCCTGACATTTGTTGACTACCCACAATGTTTTCATAGGAATTTTCAACATGAGAGATTTATTTGGAAAATAAGAATTGATAACCCAAAAAATAATACTTTATTATTTCTACCTGCAGCAGGACACATTCTCAATTAGCTACAATCCTTGAATCTGTTTTCCTCCTTTGAAACTCAAGGCCATCTACTACTGCCAACAATACATACACACAAAGGAAGAAGATAGAGAACACTTCATGCCCCACTTTCTACCTGACAGCACCAAGTAGCCACAACTCATGTTGTGTGAGACTGCAAAAGAATACTCCAGATTACAGCAGAGAGGGGAAAAGCACTCTCAATTTTAACATTGCACAGATCCATATGGTAGAAGTTACAGATAATAGATTCAACTCCAAAGAATTCAAGGGAACCTTGGGATTTCAAATGTGAATCTTAAATAGATGCTGAGTGAGAAAGATGTCTTCACAGTTGGTTAATGAAAAATATTCCACTGTGAAGGATTAACTGCTGTGTCTGAGAATGCAAGAGCACACAGGACATGAAGGAACCGAACTCTGTTGAAAAAGACAATGAATTCAGAGCCTAGAATGAAAGTTGATCCAGAGTCACACAAGCTTAATGTTTACCCTTCTTCTCACTGAGGAAGAATTTAATGTCAACCCTACTGCATGGCATATTTTATGTGTTGAATGTAGATATCTCCATGGTTAAGTTGAGTAGAAAGTATGTGTAAAACATTTGTCATGAAGTGTGAATTCATTCCTTCTCTATAACTTGAATAGTAAAAACATTCTGTGTCAATATACAATGGGAGTATGGGAGAAATAATTTTAGTCTGGACTGGAGGACTAGAGAAGTCCCTTATTGAGAATATCTGGTACACCAATGTTCCCTATTACCACTTTCACAAGGTGACATAAGGACAGGTAGAATCATACTTCCTCCATTTGATGGAGGGAAAACTGAATCACAAGATGACACAACCTGGAAGAGCTAATCTTGCAGTGGAAAGACTCCAAGGTCTCTCCATTCAATGGTTCATTCACCCCCTTCTATTCTTTTTGAAGTTGTATTGATTTATTTGAAAGGCAGAGTGACAGAGAGGCAGAGGCAGAGAGAGAGAGGTCTTCCATCCACTGGTTCACTCTCCAAATGGCCACAATGGCAGGAACTGGCTGATCCAAAGCCAGGAGCCAGGAGTTCTTCCAGGTCTCCTCTGCAGGAGCAGGAGCCCAAGGACTTGGTTCATTGTCCCGTCCCGCGGGACAGCAACTGGGGCCGAGCACCTAGAAGGAGAAATGAAAGGGACAGGAGACACAAAGATGGCAGCAAGACAGGTGCCGATCAAGCTGCGACTTTATTTTTCAACCACACACTTATATATCATCGAGGCAGGGTATCGGGAGGGGGAAGGAGGGGGGGCTTATCTTGTAGCTGCAAGGCTAGTGCAAGTAGGGGAAAGGTTACAAGGCCTTAAGGCACAAGGTCACACAAGGTTGCATTATCAGTACTATCTGGTCTGGCCTGTCTAGCCCTGTCTCTCCACTAAGAGGTCACATGCTGCGTGGTCCCCGACAGTTCATCTTTCACTGCTTTCCCAGGCTATAGCAGAGAGCTGGATCAGAAGTGGAGCAGCTGGAACTTGAACCAGCACCCATATGGGATGCCAGCAATGCAGTTGGTGACTGTACCCACTACTCCACAGCGCCAGCCCTTAACTCTCTTCTTAAAATGGGTCTAGTAGGTCCTAACAGCAAGGAAACTGATCTTTCTCCAAGCATCCTTACATCCTTATAAAATTTTCTGGCAAAGGCAAGCAAGTGAAATTTATTATATAGTGGATGATATATTTGGAATAGTGATGAAATGTTTCTATAACTCATGATCTTTTGTTACTATAAAATAAGGTTTATTCATTTTTCAAAGATTTATTTTATTTATTTGAAAGATTTACAGAGAGAGGAAGAGACAGACAGGGAGGTCTTTTTTTAACTTTTAATTAGTAAATATACATTTCCAAAGTACAGTTTATGGATTACAATGGCTTCCCCCTCCAACATTCCTCCCACTCGCAACCCCCCCAGCTCCCGCTCCCTCTCCCATTCCATTCACATCAAGATTCATTTTAAATTATCTTTATATAGAGAAGATCAATTTAATATATATTAAGTCAAGATTTCATCAGTTTGCACCCACACAGAACACAATGTGTAAAATACTGTTTCAGTACTAGTTATAGCATGAA